GCAAAACCAAGCAACAAAAGAAAACAAAACAACAACAACAAAAAGCCAATGACAACAACAACAACAAAAACAGAACACAACAACCACAAAAAAGAAAAGCTTGTAGTTAATTCAAGAACTGTTTGTTGACCTTTAGGAGTGTTTTCTGGTCAAGTCTGATGGGGTGCCAAGCACTGGCCCCAAAGTCTATTTTCGGTATTCCTTGGGCACTTCGTTGCTCTGTTCCCCTTGCTGTTCTGTTGCACACCCTTAGTGTTTTGCCTCCGTGTGGTGGGATCAGATCGGGCACAATTCCCACACTGTGTCTCCAATGCTGTCCCCTAAAGAACCCATTAAAAATTATCTAGTTTGATATCTTCATTCTACAGACAAACATACGGAGGCCAGGAGGAAGAACTGACCTTCTCAATGACCCCTGAGACCAGTCCAGTGGTCCTGCCCCTCCACTAAGTCACTCTCCCAATAAGAACAAGAACATCACATCATTTACATGCACAGAGCACTTGGTGCGGTCAGACTCACTCTTCCCTTTCCCACCCCAGCCTCCCGGCAAGCCTGCCTGAAGACCAGGCAGGTGTGCACGCTTTCGTGTTCTAGAGAGGTTATAGACAAGTTAGGACTCACCTGCTGCTCTGAGAAGGGGGCTGCAATGGTGGCTCTTCATGCTTCCTGGGCAAAGCATGGAGTCTCACAATTGTGGGTGTCCGAGCACGGGCGTGTGTGGCAATGGTAGGAGCCCTGGATCCTAAGAACCCAGCACTGCTCATCTACTTATCAGATCACCTTCAGGCCTAAATAAGAGTATGCAGCTAATTCATTTGATCTGGAGTCAGTCCCATGGGAAGCACTTTGGCAGCCCGTTCTCATGACAGGGATGGAGGCTGGTGGGGGCAGGGGAGAGAAGTAGGTATAGCACAGGGTCCTTGATGTGTCTAAAAGGGGCTTCCTTTGACTTTTGAAGCTAACACATCAAAGAGTCAGGGGGCAGAAAAAAGTGCTCATGGAATCACTCCTCCACAGCATAGCTGGATCTGAACTCCACCTGCACAAACACAACAGTTCGCTTGAGGCTCCACCTATCTCCACATTTACCTCACTGCCTATCTCTGGCAATGAATGAATCAAAGAAAATCTTTTCTGCCTAGGCATCAGAGAGACTTGCCCTCATACGAATTAAATAACTACTAACAACTCAATGCCATTGAATTGAGTCTAACTCATAGTGACCCTATAGGACAGAGTAGAATTGTCCTTGTGGGTTTCTGAGACTGTAACTGGTTACAGGAGTAGAAAGCCTCCTCTTTCTCCCATGGAGCAGCTGGTGGTTTTGAACTGCTGACTTTGCAGTTAGCAGCCCAATGTTTGATGAAATTGTGTAGAGTGGAAAATGTACCTCATTGTCCTAGTGCTGGGTTGGGCACTTATTGGACAATAATTACAGTTAGGTATATTTTTATGCTATGTTCTGAGAATTGGAAGAAAGACAAGGGAATGAAGGAAGCTTCACGTAAGATGGGTTTTCTTATCCCACATCCACCTGTCCAATTCCAGTTGGAAACCACCACTCATCCTTAAGCCCTCTGGCTCTTGGGTTGGATGCTTCTGGTCTCTCTGACTCTGATGTAAAACAAAGAGAGAAGTAAAGAGGATCTTGCCATGGGTCTTCATACAGTGAGATGCGGATCAGAGCATAGGTTCCAGTCTTGACAGATCTACACTTTCTCCAGGGCCTTGGGCAAGTCAGGAGTGCCTCTGAGCCTCAATGTGGAGCTAAAGTTCTGGGATTCCTTACACAATGGTGTTATTGGGTGGGATTGGGCAAAATGTTTCCTCCACTATGCAGTACTGCCCACATTGCCCACTGTTGCTGCTGTTTCAATGGCAATAGTCAGAAGGGTGGTGGTGGCACTATTATAATTAGTATTCAGCACTGAAGCCTGGCCACCCAAACTTAGGGCTCCGGGACCTTGGAGAGCAGAGCCTACCTGACCTCCAGGCAGCTTCACAACAGAACTTTGCTGCCACCTCCTGGTCGTGGGAAAAAAAACATATTTTTGCATTATGCAAATAACCTAGGACTTAATCCAAGTCTTGAATCTGACACACAGGGGTATCTTTGGGAATCAAGATCATCTGATCCAGGCCCCCTGGATTTTCAGATGAGAAGATTCAGATTTATAATAAAAGCCAGTCGCCCATCAGTGACAGTAGCAATGGCAGTACCCGACATAATAAGTCTCCCTGCTCCAGACCAGGATTCCTCAATATGTTCTGAGGGTCCATAGCAGATGCTTTGAAGAATCTCAAATTAGAGGACTAGAGAGCGGAAGAAAGAGATTGGCCCTGAGCCGTGACTTTGACAGCAGAGGTTGGACCCATGGCCCCGGGGCTGCCCCTGCCATAGACCGCACCCTCCTTCCTCGAGGGCCCTCTGCCTGACGGGGGAGCAGGATGGGTCTCAGAGCTGAGAGCAACACCCCTGCTCTTTCAGAGGCACGTGAATAGACTCTGCATGTCTCTGAGATAAAGGTGACAGACGGCAAGGCCAAACCGAGACTCCTGGGCCACACTCCTCAGCCCAAGACAAAGGATAAGGAGGGCCACTCTGCAGGACGCCCAAGACCAAGACCTGTGCTAAATACTTTCCATTCATTTCTTCAGCCCCTTTCACCTTTCTCTACCCTCCCTTGTGCCCTAGGAGGTTGAAATCAAGAGGGTTCCTTGACTGCTGGCTGCTGGATGGATATGGCCAATGCGAAGCAACCCACGAGAAGAAAGAGGAGGGGAGAGAAGAAGGGAGAGGACAGGAGAAGGGAGGGGAGAGGACCGAAAAAGGGTGGGGAGGTGAGAAGAAGGGGAAAGAAGAGGAGAGGGGAAGGGGAGAGGGAGAAAGAAGAGAAAGAGGAAGTGTTTATTCTTAGCATCCTTCCCTGTCAGGCTCCCCACGCCCCCATCCCTTTCTGTCCCAGCCTCCATTACCAGTGGCCCCTGAACTCCAAGTTTACTCCTTCGTACCTAGAGATAATAGAGCCCTGCTGATACTTGGCCTGGCGTTCTGCTTTGTCCTTATGCTCCGCCCACATCTGTCCAGCACCTTGTAAAGTGTCTCTTCTACTGTTCACATGGTATCCATTTGTGTGTCATCCTGCTGGGAGTCTGGCTGGTACCAGACTCTTTCTGCATGCACATCCTCTCCCCTGCCCCATGGATCCTCCTACGGAGCGGGACCAGTTCCCATGCGAAGTCAGCCTAGATTCCCTGGAGGGCTAACTGGCTGCAGTGTGTGACTCTCTCGGGTCAGGAATCCCATTCAGGTCAGTCACTGCACATCCTATTTCATTGCATACATCAACCAGACTCAGGCCCCCACCAAAATCAAGTCCTTCAGGCGGCTTCCTGGTCCCCTTGTCTGCGCAAACCAGTTTACTCTCTGGTCCCCAGGAAGAAGACCACTTCCATGTCTATCTGGGAACTAGGGAAACCAGTAGCAACCGTGATCAGCTCACGAAAGCCTATCCGTTGATTTCTAGCAATTTTGCGAGATCTTTGTTAAACATACACACACACACACACTGCCGACCAGTCCGTTCCAGCTCCTAATGCCCCTCCCGAAGGTTTCTGAGGCTGTAGATCTTTACAAGAGCAGATGATTTCGTCTTTTCTCTAGTAGTTCCTACTACTGATGTTGCGGGTAGCAGCCCACCACATAAGACACTCACCTCCGATTCTCCACTTGTCCCACACAGACACAAGGCAAAATGACAGTAGAGGAACTTGCCATTAAATCAATGACCTTTAAAGCAAAGGGAATCGCACAAAGTCCTTAGTTTTGAGGTGATCTTGACTTTAAACAAAGAGAAATTTGGAAAGAAATATTATTTACATCAAGTACAGTAATGTGCAAGCTAACGGCTGCCCGTAAAGATGGAGGGAAACGGACATGTTTTAACTGAAAAGAGGCATGTTTCTGGCTGCGATGCTTGTTCGAGGTCCTGGGTTCATTCTTACACTCCCCCGCCCCCAGTTGTAGCCATGAGAGTGTTGCATTCAGATAAATGTTTGTCATCCTGTTCGTGAATTAGGATGATTGATCATATTCACTATGTGTGCGTTTTAATGTTCTAAAGATAGTAAGTATATAAGGAAACTTTATGTCATTGTACATTGTTTTTGCTTTTTTCCACTTCTTATAGCTGCCACACAATTAATGATTGTCATTTATTTCCATGCCTGAAATTAACTGACAGGGTCAGTCACTATGACTAAGAGCCAGCTAGTTGTTGTGGGTTTCCTTCCCCCTTTTTCTTTCTTTCTTTCTTTCTTTTTTTTGGTATTGACAATTCTGTGCTGTGTTTGGGATGTAAAATGGTTACTCCAATATGCTGTCTATGACATGTAAATAAATAAAGTAGCTACTCAATGAAAATGCCTTTAAAGGATTTTAAAAACTCATCCCTTCTTGTGGGGAGAAGTCAGACACTTGCTGCCAGACTGCTGTCTCATCCCACAGCAGGGCTGGGCCTGCTCCCTGCTGCTGGGGACAATGGCCTACTTCTCTCTGAAGCTTTGGGACCATTAGCTTGGTTCCTCTAGGTGGCGTTTGCACCCTACTGATAATGTTCCTATGGAGACCCAGAGACCAACCCCTAGACCACCCACTCATTGCTGTGTAACCTATAGTGCAGCCCCTTCCTGTGACGTATGTCTTTACCTGTAATTAGTGGGCTGGATTGCCCCCAAAAAGGTATATAGGTGTGAGTCAGCGGAACTTCTCTCTCTGACCCTGAGCTCCTTGCTGCTCACTCCCTGCTCACTCCCCTCTCCCTTGTTCCCCTTCCCTCCTTCCCTTCCCCCCCTCTCCACGTGGACCACCAAGCTGGGCTGAGGTGAGCAATGTTGCTATGTATCATGTCTGACTGTATTATTGTAATAACTCTCATGCTCTCGATGACTTTAATATAATGCTTATATATCTCAACCGTACAATTGTGCATTACTGAACCCAGAAGTAGTATTACTGAACCAGTGAGTTCAAGCAGCGGGTGGGGGCTGGTCCCCTCACCCTCCCTCAGCTTCGTTAATTTTTTAATTTAATACTACACCTTCTGAGCCTTGGACTACATAGGACTGTTGTCTATGTTCTTGCAGGGATTTACAACTAAGAAAGCACGTGCTGTGAACATGCTTTGTGCAGGAATGTCCTTGCACCACTCCTCAACTGCACATTTAACATGTTTTATTGCATGTGAAAGAAAATTGACAGTACCATGGACTGCCAAAAGGACAAACAAATCTGTCTTGGAAGAAGCATGGCCAGACTGCTCCTAGAGGCTGGGATGCTGAGACTTTGTCTCACAGGCTCCGGGTGTGTTGTCAGGATGACCGGTCCCTGGAAAAGGACATCATGCTTGGGAAAGCAGAGAGACAGCACGAAAGAGGAAGGCCCTCAACCAGATGGCTTGGCACAGCACCTGCCACAATGGCTCAAACAAAGGCACAATTACAAGGCTGGTGCAGGACGGGGCAGGGTGTCATTCTGTTGTGCATAGAGTCACAGTGGGAG